ATATGATTATTTTATGTATGTCTAAAAGCATACTTTTAGACATTACGTATGTGTATTCACTTCTTATCTTTGAAGACGTTGGAAAGTAAGCCATTGAGGTGAAATATTACTTTCCATCAATTAATATAGATTTATTAATAAAGTAATAACGTACAGCAACTTGGTGTATAGCATTTTATATTGAAAATGTTTCAGTGCATATGGTATTTGGTTTTATCTTTTGCTCATGTTGTTTTGAAGTGATTTAGAAAAACAAAAACATCATAAAAAAAAAAAAGTTAAACTAGAAAATGCTTTAGATCGTATCATGTTATTTCCTAAGACCGGAGAGTGTGGATGGGAAACTCCCTTCATTTTTTGTGGGTCACAACAAAGACGGAAGTAATTAGTTGGCAGATGTATCATGTGCTACCCCTCAATTCCTCCAAACAATGTAGATTTGATCCATTTATATCCAAACTAATCATGATATTTTTTTTTAATAATTTTCCTTAATCATGTAACTTACTAAATCGATCAAATTTTTTTTTTCTTCATTGTGTCTAAGAACTTAAAGCATTAAAGTCGTGACCATTTAATCAACCTAACTAACAGAATAAAAGATAAAAGAAGAGCATGTCATAACTTAATGAAGCTTTTCACAAAACCATTGGATATAATTTTTCAATTGAAAGACAAAATGCTTGAGTTATATTCTTTAAAAAATATTGCTTTTTTTTTTTCTCTATCAACTTCAATAATTATTTGCAATAAAAATTGTATATAATTGATCATTTTCGTTTCATAATTGAACTTAATTCAATAATATACTATTAAAACAAAACTAAGATAAATGAAATTGGATTTGTTTTGTTTAAAACTACGTTGTTTAAAAGGTTCTATTCTTAAGCTTAGATATATAAAAACCACATATTCACTTTATTTATATATATATATATATATATATATATATATATATATATATATATATATATATATATATATATATATATATATATATATATAATTACCAACGATATGCTTTTTGAACCACTGTAAGTCAGATTATATTTTCTATTACAAAATAGAAGCTCAATTAGTTAGTCCATTGCCCATTTAAACATATGTTTTTTTTTGTGAACACCTAAATTACAAAAGGATCTAAGGGAAAAAAGAAATTGATATATTTTTTGATTCATATGATCGTCGCTGTTTTACTTGACGCTGCTTCCTGCTTCACCATAACTTTCCTTGGCAAAGCTTATTCACCCATTTCGTTATTGGCTCACTTACGGAATATGAAACAAGTAATATTTAATTTTCCATCTTTAATGTTTTATGATTTATTTTAATTTATTTGTTCAAATTGAAAACCTAATTAGCCAACTAGTTGCTCACTTGTATTATGTTTAAATCTTCAATTGTGAATTTTAAATCTTTAATTGTATTTGTAGGGTTTAACTGGAAATTTTTTTAAAATGATATTGGATGTTGGTAGTAGTGATGAAAGCAGTGGAGGAAAAAAACATCATCCTCAACCTCAACCACAACATATTCCACCTAGTTTTGATATTAATAATCTTCCTTCGGACCCGATGGATAGACCAAGAATTATATCATATCATCCAAATCAAAGGGATGAAATAAGGAGAGCATATTGGAGTAAAGGACCTTCTCAACCAAAGGCCATGATTTTCCATCAATAAAAATTGGTGGTAAGAACAGTCGTTTTGTAAAGGAATGGTTTGATGAATTTAATTGGTTAGAGTATAGCACAAAAGAGAACAAAGCTTATTGTTTATGTTGTTACTTGTTTGGAGATATTGTGGGGCAACAAGGGGTAGAGATGTATTTGTGACAGGAGGCTTTGACACTTGGAGTAAAAAGAAATCATTGAAAGATCATGAAGGTAAAATTTACAGTCATCACAACAAAGTAAAACAGAAATGTGAAAATCTAGTGAAGAAAAATCAATCTATTAGTAAAGCTTTTCATAAGCAAACTGAAGTTGAAGCAAGTAACTATCAAATTCGATTATGTGCTACAATTGATAGATGTAGATTTTTATTAAAAAATGTTGGTGATTTTAGTGTCACCATGTCATTTTAAGTAACTAGAACTAACATGTGAGTTAAGGGGCTTCATAATTTGTACTCTAATATGTGTATGGGGTTGTGCGGAGTGCGCGCATATATAAGATCGAATTAGAAGTCGGTTTTGACGACTAGTCGGGGGTCCAGGGGCAGCGCCCCTGGGTCCGGGGTTTCCAAAGGGGAAGCACCCCTTTGGCGGGGTCTAGGGCAGAGCCCCTGGCTGGGGTCCCGCTTGCTTCCAAAGCAACTAATGACAGCCCAACCCAAATGAAACCGTAATCTCATTTAATATATAAACAGTTCTTCCTCTTCAAAAGAGGGTGACGATCTTAAGCTCTCGTTTTCATCGTACTTTTACAGAATCCTCTAGCATATAGGCTTAGGATTTATGTGTCTAAAATCGTAAGTGTCCACTTGGATTATCGTAGGTTGAATTTCTTGTAACCCAGGCATAGGGTAGAAATATCAGTTCGGAAAGTGATATCACGATCCAAGTTGGTATCCAGATCTCCACCACAAACCCTAAAGTTTTCCCTAAAAAATGTGTTACCATTTCGTGGTCATAACGAGTCGGATGGGTCAATTTCTAAAGGCCTTTTCATTGAAGAATTATCATTCCTTCGGAACCATAATGAAAGCATTTATAATGTTACTTTATAAAATGCTCCAAAAAAATGAAAAGTTAACGTCTCCAAAGATTCAAAAAGAGATTGTTCAATGTTTTTCAAAAGAGATAATAAAGTCCATTTGTAAAGAAATTGGTAATGATGTGTTTACTATATTAGTAGACGAGTCTAGTGATGTATCCTAAAAGGAACAAATGGCTATGGTTTTGCGATAGGTTAATAGCCTTGGATTAGTGAAAGAAAGATTTGTTGGGATTAT